GGAAGGGAAGGGAAGGGAGGGAGGTGGGGGTGCAAATGTTAACGGAAGGTCTAACGTTAATTATCTTTATGCTTCACACTCGGCAGGGGATGTTGCGCGGAAAAAACGCGTGATTGGAGGCTCCCTGCGCCTTCCTCTCGTCAAATCACAATGAAGTTCTCTGATCAATCCGTTCATTTTTGGGGGGCTTAAATCACAAAAGGCAATGCAGTAACCACTGAAGGTGGGCGCACACGTGTCTGTGTGTGTTAAACGTATGACCGGTGCAACATGAAGAAAACGGGGCAGAGGCGCACACAAAGAGAAAAAAACAAGCGCTTACAACAGGGGCTGCAATCTGCTGGATGAATAAAGGATGCTGTGTACCTACTGCGTGTGCAGCTTATCGAGCTGAATCTATAGGCACATATGAATGACCCCCCCTCTCCACCACCACCATCCATCCATCCATCCCCTCCTCCCTCCCTCCCTCACCTCCCTCCAGCCTGTCACATAGCCACAGGCACAGAGCATTGCGCTATAGCATCCCTGTACTCACTCAGCTCAGAGATTTTGGGAGGCGCAGCGTCAACCCCTGGTCGCTTCCTTCTTGCTTCCGCTCGGACCAGGCGCTCCCCGCGAGCATAATCAATCACAGGCGATAGTTTGGCTTTCTTGGGCTTCAGAAAACACGAATGCAGCATATTGCATGTGACATCCTCTGAAGGCGCCCGCTGACCCGCTTGTGCGCCCTGTCCGCGCTCCTCTTGCTCCCCAGCCAGAAGGGAGGCTGGGAAGGTGTCTGACCTGAACTATCTGCTGCTGCTGCCGCCCGCCGCCGCCGCTGTATCTCCAGTGTTATCTCCAAGTGCCAGGTTTCTCCTCCACAGTCCCTCAAGCCCCCTCCATCTGTACTCGCATCCCCTCGGCTCAGCTACTGTGCTTCCATGTGACACAGGCAGAGCTGGAGACCCCCCAATTTTGTATGTGTGTGTGTTTTGATTCTGGCGCCATCCCTCGGAGGGACGGGGAAGTGCGGGTGATGAATGGGCTGAAAGAGAGAGAGAGAGAGAGGATTTCTCAGTCCTTGTTGCGTAAAGGTGCATGGGGCTCTGGGTAATTTCAGAGGCAGATTAGAGACATTTGGAGTCTGTATACTGCAATCTGGACGCTCAGTGGTCCAAATTAAAGCCAGCACCTTCTTCTTTCTGCACAAGGAATATAAAGTGAACATGACCTGTTGAAATGATCAGGCTTTTTAAATGAAGATTTTCTGTAACATATAGTTAATATATGAGCAGGAGATGATGTACTGACACTGACTTTATTCAAATGAGTCAAAGAAAGCTACAACAGGTCAA